CAGTAGAGACACTAGACCTTTCTTACAATGATTTGACGGGGTCTCTCCCAGCCACGTTTGGGACATCTAGGATTAGGGAATTGCGGCTTCAACACAGGAAAATGGGACTTTGTGGCAAAGTAGTCAATACCGTACTAGTATGCGTACTGGTTTTGTTATTGGAACGGTACATACCGGATATCGAAATTTTTTGTATACCGTTTTGGAGTTATCGCTATAAATATATATTTTTATAAATTAAATATCAAATTTTAAAATAAGATAAGAGATATTAATATTTAAAACTATGATACTCTTATAAATTAAAAATAAGTTTAAAATGATTATTTTTAATCTCTCAACTTCTAATATATGTATATTTTTCGTTCATCCACTTTAAATTAAGGGACTAAAAATGTGTATATTTAGACAAACTTAACAAAATAATTGATAGAAAGACTAAAAAAAATGAAAAATGGATTAAAAAAGTACATAAAAAAGTTAAAGGATGAAAATTATATATAATATTAAAGTTGAGGACCAAAAAAGGAATTTGCCCTTTTTAAATTTGAATTGAATTATATGGACAATTTTTGTGTACCGGTATCTGAAATTGCAGTTGTAGGGTATTAAGAAGCCCTTAGCTCAAAACGACATCGTTTTGGGTTAGAGAATCCTTTTTTTTTTTTTAATTTGTCTGTGTACCAGTCAAAATTTCGGTGAACCAGTCGGTACACCGAAATTTCGACCGATGTACCAGATTTTGATCGAATTAACCGAATTTTGACCAACATAAATTTTCATACTATACCATTTGGATCAATATAAAAAATTGATATGTACCGACTGTACCAGTTGGCACAGTATGAGATTCACTTCTCGGCTTTGTGGTCGGATAGATGTATTGTCCAGCATGACGTCTCTGCATTCGATTTTTCTGCAGGTAAATAACCTTACAAGCCCTACCTCAGATTTTTCCAATTGCAGGTCATTGGACACATTGTATTTGAACCACAATCAACTCACCGGATTGGTTCCCCAGTCTTCGACCAAAATTTCTATACATTACAGTGTCATTTCTCTGTCCAACAACAAATTGCAAGGTCCTTTCCCTAAATCCCTTGAAATTATGTTAACGATATCTCTCTGGAAGGTAATAACTTCTGTACCACTGAAGGCTCTTGCGCTGATCGAGTCACAAAATTACTCAGATGTTGCAGGAGCTTTAGGATATCCACAGGAACTGTTTGATCGTTGGACAGGAAATGATGCTTGTGCAAATTGGAGTTTTGTAACATGTGATGGTGACATGGAGAAAGTTATTAAGGAGATAGATTTTGGGAATAAACAATTTGGTGGGACTGTTTCTCCAGCTTCTGTAATTTCACGTGGTTGAAGAATTTGGACCTGAAAGATAATTTAACAGGTAGTATTCCTGATTGCTTAGTAGAATTGCATGATATTAAGTTCATTGACGTCTCCAATAATAACCAAATTTGGAAATAAAAACCAATGGAAATACTTTACTAGCGCTCGCGTCAAACCTCCTGAAGCAAGCCCCCAGGTGGCTCCTAGAGAAGACCAAAAACCCAACGTTATGACACATATAGATTTGTAAGGCACTAGGAGTTATGTATCATGCTTTGCCAAATCTATTATGGATGGATTGATTTTAAATAGGATTAAATTTACAGGGGAAATGAGAACCATGATTGTAATTATCATGGTTGTTACCACTGCTGGAGCTGCGGGAGCCATCTACTCATTTTTCAGGGGAAGGAGGATTGTTGCTCATAAATCAGCGGGTAACATGTCTGTCTCTCTATCTGCAGTTACTATAAATATATGGTAATACGAATGACTAATTAGCTAATTCAAATCAGCGTATTCAAGAGTTCACAATCATAGTGTGCTTAGAGAAAATGTAAACCAAGGTAAACTTCAACAGGAGCATCAGTTATTAAATCTTGGGAAACTAGTTGCTGCAACTAACAACTTTGATCTAGCTAACATGCTCGGCCAAGGTGGTTTTGGTTCAGTATACAGGGTAATGGGTGCTTACTTCAACAATTGTGATCCACCCTTTTATTTCCTTTTGTTTACTAATGTAGGAGAAAAATTCAATTGGGTTGCCAAAGTTTTTTATGTAGGAAAAATTCCAAGTTTTTTATGTAGGAAAAATTCCAAGATGGGAAGGGAGGAGCAATTAAAGACTTTCAAGAGCATCTGGACAAGGGGTAAAAGAATTCAGGAATGAAGTGGTAGTGATTTCTAAACTTCGACATAAAAACCTAGTCAGACTTCTTGGTTGGCGTATTGAACTTGGAGAAAAGATGTTAGTCTATGAATATATGCCAAATAGGACCCTGGATGCCCCTCTTTTTGGTAGGAGCATCTTGATGTATATTCTCTTTCTTGCATAGTTTCAACGCACTTAAATATTGATCATTTGCTCTCTTTTAATTTTTTGGAATTTATTTAGATCTACAGAAACATCATTTACTTGATGGGAAAAGCACTTCAAAATTATAGGAGTTAGTTGAGGTCTATTCTACCTTTATAGAGAATTTGAATTGCTTATTATACTTAGAGATTTGAAGGTAAGTAACATTTTGTTATCAAACTTTGGAATGGCAAGGATTTTTTAGAGCAATCAAGATCAGGCCAATACTAAGAGGATCATGGCATGGGAACATAGTAAGCTTCCATTTCTTTATCCACCTCTAAGATTTTCAAATCATTGTCTTGAGCTACAATATTCACATTTTTCTCTTAAACTATGAAATAAAGTGGTTACATGTGGCTTGAATATGCAATGGAAGGAAGATTTTTAGAGAAACCTAATGTGTTTAGTTTTGAAGTATTGATATTAGTGATTGTTAGCAAAAGAAGAAACACAAGCTTTTACAGTGATGAACAATCTTTAAACCTGTTGGAATATGTAAGTCTAACTTGTTCTTTTATCATAGAACTTGACAGGAAATGCCTAAAGTACAAATAGGGGAAAACTAACTTTTGCAGATTTATATAGGCTTGGAAATTGTGGAAGGAAGACAACATTCTAGCAAGGTTTCATTTAGAAATTTCAAGATGCACTCATTTGGGATTGTTGTGTGTGCAAGAGTTTGTTGATGATAAGCCAAATATGTTAACTGTAATTTCAATGCTCAGTAAAGAAATCGAGAAGCTGCCAACTCCTAGGCAATCCATATTCACAAAAGGAAAAGCAACCATAGGGAAATCTCTATTTAGTCAAGAAAAGATCTGTTCTGTTAATGATGTTACAATAAGCATGATTCAAGGTAGTTGGCAAGTTTAGGTGCTGTATATTCTTTTAATTTGTAAGGTACGTTCCATATAATCATTGTTCAAAGGTTATCCCAAGTTTGGCAAGGTTGGATAACTAAAATATAAATTAGTGAGAAATAGTGCTAAGACAAGGACATATTAGAGTGAAATCCTATAAAATTAAGTAATTTATGAGATTTTTATTAAAGGCTTAAGCTTGGTAATCTTATTAAGCAAATAAAGAGCAATATATACAGTTCAGGCAGTCATCTAACCTAGGAAATAAGGAAACTGTACTTAAATACAATATACATACAATATATATTATTTACATTAAGATGGAGATTTGGTTTCCTTTTATGAGGTGGAGTGATTGATCTAATATCGCCCCCACAAGACGGTCAAGCTATTAGTGATGCTGAGCTTGGACCGTAATAGACAAAACTGAGCAGAGGAAAGGGGCCTAGTAAGACCATCTACAAGCTAATCATGGGTAGAAATGTGAGATACATGTAGAAAGCCATGATCCACAAACTCACAGACAAAGTGAAGACTAATGGTAATATGCTTCATGCGAGAATGAAGAACAGGATTAACACTCAAATATGGGCCACTAGCATTATCATAGAAGATGGCAAGACAACGAGGAATAGAGACACCTAGTTCAAAAAGGAGATTGTGAACCCATATCAACTCATAAGCAGTGGCAGCTAAAGCTTGGTATTCTACTTCAATGGAATTGCAAGCAATTGTCCGCTGTTTAGCAGCCTGCCAAGAGACTGGATTATAACCCAAAAAAACAATATAACCAGTTGTGGAATTAAAATAGGCATGTAGTGAAAGAGATGATTACGGTCAAAGAAGCAACCCGTGATAAATAGTACCCCGAAGATATCGAAGAACATGTTTCAAGGCTTGCTAGTGAAGATCAGTGGGTTGATGCATGTGCTAAGACAATCGACTGATAGCAAACAAAATGTTCAAATGAGTAAGAGTGAGATTCTGAAGAGAACCCAACATACATTGATAGTTAGAGCCATCGGAAAGAGCTAAACCTATTGAAGAACTCAAATGGGCCGAGGAAGGAAGTGGTGTGGAAATAGGCTTTGTAGCATCCATGTTAGCTCAACAAAGAATATCAAGAATGTAATTGTGTTGAGAGAGCAATAACCCAGTAGGTGTATGGATAGCCTCAATGCCCAAAAAGAAGGTGAGAGAGATGCAATCTTTAAGAGAAAAGCATTGCTCCATTTTGTGCACCGGAGAGCGTAGTAGACCGGAGTCATTCATTGTGAAAAGAATATCATAAATGTACACAAGGAAATAAAGCCAAGTAGAGTCCTTGTGGTACACAAACAAAGAGCTGTCAGATTTAGAATTGTAAAAGCCCTGAGATAAAATAAAAGATTTTAATTCTTGAAACCAAGCCGCCAGTGAAGCTTGCTTTAATCCATAAAGAGATTTTTTAAGCCTGCAAACCAAATGAGGTCTGTTAGAGTCAACAAAACCAAGAGGCTGCTGCATGTATAGATCTTCCTCTAATTTGCCATGAAGAAAGGCATTATTAACATCCAATTGTTGAATGGGCCATCCATGACTAACAGTAAGAGATAAAACCATCCAAATTGTTGTTGGTTTAATAACTATACTAAAAGTGTTAAAATAATCAAAACCAAGCCATTGATGAAAACCTTTGGCCACAAGACACGCCTTATAATGCTCAATACTACCATCTTTACCACTTTTAACATGAAAAAACCCACTTACAACCAATGTTGATAAAGAGTGAGAGGCACCAATTCCCAAGTACTTTGCCAAACCAATGTAGTAAACTCATTAGACATGACTTGTCTTCAAACAGGTGCTTTCAAGGCTTGGGATACACATGTGGGCTCTAAGAAGGTGGTAGCAAGGTGAAGAGTAGTGTGGAAGAGCTGCTTGGGTTTGAAAATGTTGTTTTGGGCTTGAGTAACCATAGGGTGTGTTTGGAAAGGTTGGGGTGGGGCCAAGGGAGGGCTGGGAGAACTAGATGAGGTGGACGGGCTGGGTGAGTCAGAATGGGCTGAGGAAGAAGAAGGAGATAAGGAAGGTGAGCCTAGGAATGTGTGTGAAGAAAGGAAAATTCAGTTGGGTGATGGTGGTGGTGATGATAAGTTAGAAGTAAGTACTAGGGATTCGCGAGCAGGTTCCAATGATGGCATGGTCTCATGAATGGCACTATGGGACATGACTGGTGCAGATCGACATGGCAAGATTGGCTTATTACTAAGATTTGGTGGAGAGAAAGATGGGGACATGTGAGGAAAATTATTAAAATCACTAGAATTAGAAGAATTTTGAAATGGAAAAATGGATTCATGAAAGATGACATGATGAGACAAAAAAAGTTTGCTAGATTGTAAATCAAGGCATTTATACCCCAAATTTTCAATAGAGTAGCCTAGAAATAGACAAGGACAAGATCTAGGTTGTAATTTATTTTGAGTATAAGGACTCAGCCATGGAAAACAAAGACAGTCAAAAACTCTTAATTTGAGATAATTAGGTTTGTGACAAATCAAGTTTTCAAAAGGGGAAATAGATTGAAGAAGAGCAATAGGCAACCTATTAATTAGGTAGACTACCATTTGGAAAGCATAAGACTAGTATTTGGGACTAGGGATGTCAACCAGGTCCCGCAAGGTTGGGAAGTCCTTTCTCATCCTCGCGAGGATTTTTGACGGGGGGCAGATTTTGCCCCCCATCCCCATTCCCCGCGAGGAATGGGGATTCCAATGGGGATCCCCATTCCTCACCAATTAATATTTAAATATATATTTTTTACATCAAACATAAATAAATATTAATTTAACATAAATAATTAAATCAATAAACTTTTTTAAAACATAAATAAAGATTAATCAAATATAAGCTCTTCCAAACATAAACTGTTTGAATTGGTGATGGAGCTTGAAATGATCGATCAACACTTTGTTCTTGTGTATTAGACATTTATTACCTAAAAATAAATTTAAAAAAACAGTTATGTTTTTACATTGAAATATAAAATAAACTTTGAACTTTTCTCTAGTTAATGAAAATTTTTCCCTTTCATAATTTCATTGGAATTCACAGTAAACTCTAAAAATTAAATAGGCAGTCAAGCATTCACAGTTTTCTCAATTTCTTGATTTCACTGAGAAGCTACTACACTTTTTTATATTATATTTATATCAGTATATGTAAAGAAATTAACTAAGCAATTCATTAATAGAAATGGCTATAAGCAGTCAATGAATCTAGCAAATTCTAGAAAATCTAGACTTTCTCTATGTTAAATCAACCCATTAACAAATTATTTAAACTTCTTACCATTTGGATTTGTAGCTTGTAGCTGTGGGTGGAGTGGTCCGATAGCAGAGACAATTCAGCAGCTTAACAATAGTCGCAAAGGCAGTTCAGCAGTTCATAGATCGACTTCGACTTCAACTTTGAGCAGCAGTGGCGCAGCAACAATCCAGACTCCAGATGGATTTGGTTCAGCAACAGCAGTCCAAACTCTAGATGGATCTGGTTCGGCAGCAGCAGTGTGTTCGAGGCAAAAGGGTGAGACGTGAAATAGAGAAAGGTAGAAGGGTGGCAATGAAGGGAATCGAGGGATTTAAGGTTTGAGATTTGTAGGGGAGGGCCAAAGGGGAAGGTTGAACATGACCTAAGTGAGAGACAGAGAGAGTTCCAGAGTGAGGTAGAGGTAGTGTGAGAATTGGAGAAATGAATAAGGTTACTTAGGGTTAAAAGGATTGGGTTGGGTTGGAAAAAATTGGGTTAAATTTTATTGAATTGGGTTTGGGTTTGAAAATTATATTAAATTTAAAATGAAATTAATTTATATATATTTTAAATTTTTCATGGGGATCCTCATCCCCGCGGGGCTTGCGAAATTTCATGGGGGGAAAATGCCTCTTGTCCCGTCCCCGCCCCGCAAGGAGGAACGTGGGGCGGAATATATCTCCCCACCTCATCCTTGTGGCGGGGATCCCACGGGGATTGGGGCAAATTGCCATCCCTATTTGGAAGGGAGGGACAATGTGTAAAGTAGAGATAAACCTGTTTCAACAATGTGGTGATTACACCTTTTGCTTATGTCATTTAATTTGGGTGTATACTGAGGATTTGTAAAAGTAGATATGCCATGTTGAGATAGAAAGTTTCGAAAAGCAATAAATTCACCCTCGCTATCAGAATGAAAATTTTTAATTTTGATTTTAAATTGGGTTTCTACAAGTGATTTAAATCGGGGAAAAATTAAGGCAACATCATATTTGCGTTTAATTGGAAAAATCCATGTATATCTACTGTAAAGATCGATAAATAGGAGAAAGTAGGAGTAGCCATCAATGGAAGTAATAAGGTGGGGCCCCAAACATCATAATAAATATGTTCTAGTGGAAATTGACAAGTAATTGAAGAGTTGGAAAAAGATAATTTGTGACTTTTGGAGCATGCACATGAATCACATGGAGAAAGAGTATTTTTATTAAAAATAGGTAATTGATAAACATTAATAATAGATTTTAGGTTCTTTGCTGATGAATGACCTAAATGACAATGCCAATTTGCCATTGAAACTCTTTCTCCTACTAAGGTAGTAGGCCTGGTTTTAATTTTTTCGGGGAGTTGGTATGTCCCATGAACATTTGGACCCCATGCCATCGTCGCCCCCATGGCCCAATCCTTCCATCAAAAATAAGAAAGGTGAAATTCAACATAAGCGTTGGCATTTTCACATAATTGAGAAATAGACAATATATTGCGAGAAGCATGGGGAACACATAAAATATTATGCAAGGGAGTAGAAAGTGTGGAGTGTCCCACATGTGTAATTTGCAAACCTGTTCCATCACCTATTTGGAGTTCATCGGGTCCATGATATTTAGAGTGTAAGGCAAGGTTGGCCAGGTCAGTAGTGACATGGTGAGATGCCCCAACAACCAAGAGCCAAGTATCAGGGGACCCAACAAAGGACGTAGCCATGCTAGCAAAAGGGCCTTGTTGTGATGTTCGAAAGAGAGAACAATTCCGAGTAAAGTGACCTAGGTTGCCACAAAGCTGGCAGATGATGGGTAAAGGCTTGTTGGGGAACAGAAGAGAAGAACCACGCCTCTTATTAAAATTGGGCCAGCTCGAGATTGGGCCACTTTGAGGGCTCTTATTGCTTTGAGAAAGTCGACCACCTAATGGTGTGGGAAGAAGGCCGGCAGAGGAAAAGGAAGACAAGGAGCCTGCAACAGTTTGTGAGTTAGGAAAAGCAGCAAACATGGCACTCACTGAAGTAGGATCAAGCTTGGGTTCATCTCGCTTTAGGCTTTCTTCATGGGCCACCAATCGACAATGGAGATCATCAAAAGACAGGGAGGAACCACGAGTTCGAAAGGAGGCCGCAATTTCATGAAACTCAAGACCTAATCCATTTAAGATGTAGACAGTGAGATCATTATCTATGAGAGGGCAATCAATGGTTCCTAGTTCATTAGTAGTAGCTTTGATGGAGTGGAGTTATTCAGAGACAGGACAGCCATCAAGGCACAAATTTTGTAGTTGTTCCTTGAAGGTGATGAGTCGAGTGTGGGAGCGGTTGGCATAGAGTTTCTCAAGGGTTTCCCATGCATGTTTGGCGATGGGAGCAACAGCAATATATTATAGGGAGTGATGCTCTCAGAGATAGAGGTAATGAGAGCATGACGTAGAAGCTGGTCTTGTTGAGCCCAAAGACAATAAAGTGGGTCAATGGCCATTGGGCAAGGATATGTGCCGTCAATGAATCCAGGAAGTTCATATCCAGCAAGCAAACTAGTGAATTGAGATCGTCAGGATGGGTAATTGTTCAGGGTAAGCTTGAGAGAGAAAGCACCAACATTGAAAGAGATAGGGCCTCAATTGGTGGGAGTGAGGAAGGTGGTAGTGGAATTAGGGGTGGTTTCACTAGATGCAGGGGTGGTGCTGTTGGTGGAGGCCATGGGTTTTGGAAATTCTCATTTGAGAGAGGCTCTGATACCAATATTAAAGGCTTAAGCTTGACAATATTGTTAAGCAAATACAAGGCAATATATACAGTTCAAGCCAATGTTTTAAAAATCAGACCGGATCGGTCGGTTGAACCGGTCAGACCAGTACCCGATATTAAAAATGGTTCGGCTCAACATTTAGAACCGGTGGAGCAGTTGAACCGGTCAAAACCGGTAAAACCGTTCAACCAGACGGTTTAA